GCAAGTAGCGAGACGGAACCTGCTGCTGATGTAGCAGCTAATAAGGGTAAGCGCAAACGAGAGAAGACCCGGAAATATGCATATGCCATCCACAGATGGTTTGAGGATTCACTGTCCCTTCTACATGTAAGTTTAAAGTTAAAATCTGTGAATTAATTTAATAGCTCAGTGTTGTATGCAAGATGTATGTTTATAAATGGCAGTGGCATGGTCACCCTGTACCTTGCACTTGTTTGAAGTTAAAACTTGAATCTGTGAATTATTTTAATAGCTCTGTGTTCCATGCAAGATGTATGTTTATAAATGGCAGTGGCACGGCCACCTTGTACCTTGCACATGTTTAAAATAAAAACATGAATATATTAACCTGTGTATTATTTGAATAGCTTAGTATTGAATGTACAATAACAGAGTAGCTATGTTTATACACTGCACTAGGCCCCATTTAATATAAAACACAATTGTATGCCATACATATAGTAGGGGGTCCCTGCTCCAGCTCTCCATCAGTTTGGGGGTCCCTGGCCTGAAAAACGTTGAAGACCCCTGGGTTCACGGACATTTTAGTTAACCGGACTTCCTGTTGATGTGAAATCCGAAAATATTTTTAAAAAATCAAATATTACTTTATTCCGAGTGTGCTTGCTTTTCTCTTTGGAGGTCATCACATAACGGCATTGTAATACACGGTTCGGCTGCATTACATATTACATATCTGCCGTAGTTCGCTATTTATAGAGCCCTGATGAGAAGACTTCTGGACAAACAGGAAGAACTGCCGCCGAAACTGAATTTGACGTGGATCATAAATATATCAGCAATTAAACAAAATCTTCAATTTCTATTCACAATATAAGTCTCCTTGCAGTATCAATACTAATTCGGCTGACTTTTTATATTTGATCCAATTGGTATATTGGTATATTTACACCATAACGGTGCACAGCTGATAGAAAGGGACACCTGGTGGTTAAAGCACATTATTGAAATGTATTATTTTTATTATTAGATATTAATAGGAGACACAGACAGACAAACTAATAAGGCTTTATTTAAACACTAAAGAATACTTTAGGTTAAGGTCTTATTTTGAATAAGAAAAAAGCTTTGGAGGTATAAATATTAAGCCTGACAAAGTACTAATATATTGCTTTCCTGCAATGTTAACTACTGTATGTTGAAGCACTTATTTTAACTGATATTATACTAGTATACTCTTATAAGATGTATGTAGATAGTATAAGAAATGTGTAGAATACAACAGTTTAATGGTGGAGGTATACACATATTGATAGATGTCTTGTAATGCACTGTTGAGGAACCTGCGACCCAAGTTTTTCATCTCCGACCTTGTCAGGTATTGAATATCCAATAAATAAAGAACACAGAATTATTAAATATAAAACACAGAATTTGTGTGATTATACTAAATGATTTACAAATAAACACCACTGCATATTTACAACTGTTACACATGCTGATGTAACGCAAATGTTTCCAACTTAGGACCCGTTCAAATCCAGTTTTGGACAGTCTGCCGTGGTTCCATCCCATTTCAAAGTGCTGTTCGACGCTCGGCGTAACCCTCGGAGCACACTCAAACATCCAATCACAGAGCTTGAGGACTATCACAGGGTTTGTCAAGCGAAGCGGAGAGAATACTTACTTCCGGGTGTAATATTCTCTAAAGCAACTACTATGAGCTGCTCCGACCCTCGGTCCTGACGGACTCCAACTTGTTTTTATTAATCAAACAAATAAATAAACACAAGGACAATTATGTGTTATTGTTGAGTAAATAACAGTGTGTGGTTTAGAAAAGAATACAAAATTAGAAGGAAAAAACCATGAAACAATACAGATTTCAGTATTCTGAGTCCCTACTCTCCCCATAACTGACGGCAACAAAAGTCCGACATTATTCAATTAAAATAAAGAAGTAAAAACAATAAGTGTGGCTTGATATTGAGTTAGAAAAAGGTTGATAAACGCTGTGAGAATGAATCTGCGGAGAGCATTTCGCCGCGATCCCAACTCGTCTATTACCAACGTTCAGGGAGCTCTATGCAAGTCAATGGGACGCCCTGCCCGTTGAAAACTGACTCTCAAGGGGTACCCTGTCCGTAATAGAGTGACGGGAGGGGCCCTGACCGCCCGTCAACATGTGACGGGTTGGGAGTGAGAACGTGTTGCTGAACAACATGGCAGGAAGGCAGGTTATCCTGTGCTGATGTTTTTTTTGTGGCTGCTTCAGCAAGCCAATGTGCAACATAACATATGTATACATGTCCCCATTTAACGTCAAGTGGATATTGGCTTTTTAAAAAAAATGTTGGGCCAACTTCAACGGACAGTCTAACACACAAAATACGTATAAGTATATTTAATAAATTGTTCCCCCTTTTGGAAACCAGTTTCGTGGTAATCATCTTAACAGAGCAATAACGTAGTAGTGGAAAGACTTGAATTTAATTTCCTGAGAACAGAAGTGATGTGAAGGTATTTCATTAGTTCTCTGTGAATGTGTGTGGAAGTACTTTACAGCTCATTGGCACGTATAGACGGCAGCTCCTGTGGCGCTCGGTGAACGATCCGTCCTCACTGATCCTCAGCAGAGATGCTGTCAGTAAAAACAACCGGCACAGCTTTGTTGCTTAGAGATTGAAACTGTTTGCAGAGATGCTGGTTAAACAAACATCATTACCAGAAACATTAACTCCCGATAGGCTCATTTCCCCCCCGTTTCTCAGGCCTCATTAGCTATGCAGTGGGTTTCTCTCCTCTAATGGCCGAGGCAGGCGCAAGGCATCTTAAGGCTCAACGTTGTGATTTCCGCAGTGAGCCGTCCTGCCTGGGAGGAAAGGCTTTAACTTGTCAGATAAATGTTAGTCCTTTTTTATGAGTGTTTTTGTGTCATTTTGAGTTGCTGTTTCCCCTGAAAGTCTGTGATGTATTATTGGCGCTTTCCTCCTCCCGTGTGAATTGCAGCAAGATGTGTGGCTCTCAGTGAGCGAGAGGATTTTAATGAAGCAGGCTGCAATGCTCACTTGGGGGTCTTGCAAAAGCAGCCGTGGACCTGCAGGAGGTTTTAGATGCTAAATGTTGAGAGCTAAAAGCAAAGCATCTGTCCCCAGGGATAACTATGCACCACGTTGGATGCAGTCAAAATAAAACCCATGAGTGAGTGATCAAACTAAAAAAGGCTCAGAATGTTCTACACCCCGCTTCAGAGGAAAGGTTGTGCTGTACCTACTGTGCTCGCTCTCTGTTCCTTCTCAGTCTGTCCCACCTGTGCAGCCCACAAAGTCAACATAATAGTGTATCAATAGGGCTGCACGATTTTGGGAAAAAATCTAATTGCGATTTTTCTGACAAATATTGCGATTCGATTTGCGATATTTGTTGTGAAGCGACCCAACGGAAGTTTATTGTAAAATGCAGCCATAACTCCGGCTAGGAAGGTCGTATCAACATGCTCCCGTCTCTAGCACCCCCGCAGCCCGAGCTACGAGTGAAAGGACTAAACTTACATGAAACTTCCGTTGGGTTGCTTTAAAGTCAAGCTTCAGTTTAAGATTCACCCTGTAATAGAAACATGTGATGGAGCATTACTAACCTGACTCAGATGGTTTGTTTCACCAAAACATCTAGGAAAGCTCCATTGGAAGCCATTTGGAAAGGGCAGGCACTTTCAAAAATACTTGGCAGGTGATCGGATCAATCTGTGTATCACCTTCTATCATGGGCCACTTCTGATTGGTTAACAATGGCTGGTACATGTGGAGCACAGCACTTCCGATTGGTGTGGATGACTGACACACAAGAAGAAGAAAAAAAATAAAGAATTTTTTTTTTTAATCGCAGGCTTTGCGATTTGATAATCGCATCATTTAAAATCGCGATTTCGATTTAAAATCGATTAATCGTTCAGCCCTAGTATCAATTGGAAGGCACTGTTGCATTCTGGGAAATCAAAGGTCACACTTTTTACACCGTGCACTTGACTAGGGAAACGAGCAGGATCAGAGAGGCAGAATGTCGTCAAAGGCTTTTCCCTCACTGTCAAACACTCAAACCGCTCTGCAAATACAAACGCACACATGCACACACACACACACACACACACATACAATCTTTCAGCTCCTCGCTCTCCTCGTGTCCATTTATTTCCTTCTTCTTTCTCTTTAACAAGATGGATGCCAAGTGGGGTGAAGGAGTAGCAGTGGTTGATAAAAGGATGCGAGGCGGTGGAGCTGGTGAATCAATTTAAAGATTAAACGTATAGCAAGTGGCAGGAGAAGTTAGGGAGAAGCTCCATAACACTGCAATGTTGGTGTTTTTGATCACGTTTCAAAACATATTTTGGATAAATTCAGGATACGCAACACTTTCTTACTTACCTCTTTAGTATTTGTAAATGTTTTCTATGTTTATCCGAGCATATGGCTTGGGTCCATTTGTATAAATTGTGCTTTATAGAGAGGGTTGATATTCTTTGTTAGCTTTTGTGCTCATCTGCAGGTCCTTTAAATGTTGAACAAATGACATTTCTAAATGTCAGGCTGTAAAATTATCATAATGTTTCAAATACATCTTTAGAGATCTTTCTTTCCCATCATTGGGAAAGAAACTCCCTCTGGAGGGAACTTTAGAAATGTGGCCTTTGCAGACCATTTACATGCACACAAACCTATAGTATATAACACACTGCCGGAAAGGGAGAACCCCCAGAAGCATAAATAAAAACAAACATTCCGGTTGTAACAAATGTGATTTTGGAGAATAGACCCAGCAGTTTATTTCTGTTTGGTGAGTTTGTGTTACATTAATGGCACCCCGAGTTGGATTGGTAATGGTTTTGGACAAGTGTTCAAAAAGTCCTAATGAACGGCTGAAAGCAGCTCATAGGTTAACGGATTACAATCTGTGTAGAGACGTGTAAAACCAACGCTCTCTCAACTAACTCCTTGTTCCTGTCTCTCTTCTTTGTGTGTTTTCAGTTCAAGGTGGAGGGCGAGTGGTGGACCTGGATCGACTACGAGCGTTTCCAGGAGCTGGTCCAGGCTCAGGAGGAGAGCGGGGGGCAGCAGGGCTTCTCCGCCCTGGACTACATGGCCAAGACCCCCAGCTGGGCTCTCTTCGGAGCCACTGAGCAAGGCTTCGAACCCGTTGACACACGCTTCCATCGACGCAACAAAACCAAAGACATTTCAGGATGCTGATAGATGTGAGAGAGAGGTGGGATAAAAAGAACGAGGACTCGCCTCCATAGAAAAAAATAGGGATCTGTTTCTTTATCCCAATCCTCTTTGAGTTTCAAAGTTTATATAGCTGGAAAGCATTTTCACTTATACTCTCTCACCCTCTTTCCATTTCTCTTTCATTTGGATCTTTCATTTTATTGGCTTGAGATCCAAGATCTGCCAAAAACTGACGGTCTATTTCACTTCGTAGACATTCCCCTAACATTCACTTTAGGAGCTTCTCTCGCTTCCTATATGTACACGAATCTTTGATACATTCCTTTTTTTGAAGGGGTCATTACTATAAATGTCAATGACTTTGATCTTTTAAACTATCTGGCAGCGATTTGGAAGGTTAACACTGTTGAAGTAGATATCGTGAATGGTTTCATCATCATCATCATTTCTGACATTTGGTTATAATCCAGCTTCTAGTTATACAGCTCAGGACATGATTAGCATATCAGGAGGAGCTCTTCTCCTCATGTTGTCTGAGGGAGCTGTTTCCCAGACTCCTCTCCTCCTCATTAGGACTGCCGTGTTTGTACTCCGTGGTGAGGCTCTCCAGCTGTAAGAGAAAGGCTTCAAGGCCGCGTCTCCACTGGGAGTCGCCTTTATTACCGGCTCTTTTTGAGGAATCTTTGTGGATTATTTTTGCAGGTCCAACAATCTCTGCTTCGCTTGGTTTCCTTCCTTTTGCGTAGGTGCTTTGCAGTAAAGATGGGTGGTTCTCCCATTACGATAGGTTAACTGTGATTATTAATAGAAGAAAAGTGGGCAAGGTTTTTAAGGAATCCAACGTTATTGATAGAGATAGCATTTTGCAGTTTTTGAGCTAAATGACATTTAATGACATACTAAATGTAATGCAATGGAGCAGTGCAGTGAAGACGTATTTTTTTAGGCTGACCAGGAAGTAACCATAACAAGGGCTCCCTCAACAAAAGCCAATGGGATTTCGCCATTGGCTTTTGGAATATTGCTGAAAATAGGCCCTGTGTTAAACACATATTTATGATACTTCATTAACACCACTTTTTTAAGCGTAAAACTATCGCCTGAATTGAACAGCTAAAGCTACTGTACGCTATAAACGACTTCCATGTCGGTCGCATGGCTTTGTGTCACCACGGCTAAGCTAAAGGTGGCTAATGGGGGACGTTTAGTATTCTCATTAGTCACTTGTTAGCAACCGCCATTCTTATGATACTTAGAATCTTCAGACATTCACCGTTGGGTATTTACTGACGTATTTTATACTGTAGAACAAAAAGTGTTAATCTCTTCAGCTTGTGTTAACCACATAACTTATTCCAGACGAAGGAACCAGAAATGATAGAATACTAACTTATTTCTGGATTTAAGACTTAATCCTTCACCACTCTATCGTATCACTGTTTGGTATCGGTTCAGTAAAGAATACATTTAATATAACGTTTTTAGAATTGAGATTACTACATTTTCAATACATTTCAAGTCTTCTATCATTGTGACAATGCATCTTCCTCTTGTTTAAATAGGGAAGACATAGGTGTCAAAGATTTGTAAACTGCAAATGTGCAACACTTATAATCTATTCATCTAACTTTAAAATGTCCAAACCAGGATAAGGCATGATTTAAAGAAAAGCATCACGATGTAGCTTTACATCAATCCTACTCGTGAACTCCTCCTCAAGTCTCCAGCCTGCCAGGATGAAGCCTTTTCTGATATTGTAGTGAACAAAGGTGTATAATTCAAGCTTATTTCTATGTCCTTTTATTTGAATGTAAATTGAAATGTTAATGTTGAAGTCCGTTTTATTATTTGTTTGGATTCAATGTAAATCCAGTTGTCAACTAAGATCTCGCTGGGAGAAACAGCTGGTGTGGGGGATAAATCACTGTAATAAACACATGTGTAACAATCTGCTCTGTCATTTGTGAATGTCAGAAGCAGTACATGAACAAACGGAGCACATGTGTCCTGCTGTATGTCTTGCTGCCTGTCTCTTTTTCACAGTGGGAAGTTGACATTTGGAGACTACAGTAATTGTGGGGAAGCTGTGTGGGCGGCACTTAGAGCCCAACACAAGAGCTCTGACTGAACGAGAGAGGAGGCAAAGGTGAGTTCAACAGAAAAACAACTCTACCCGAGCTCCAGTTGCACTCTTTAAATGTAACCTTTTGTCACGGGTGAAGGTTAGAAAATGTAAAATTGCCTGTGAGTTGGAAGTATTTGTTAGGGGGGCAAAGTCTTCAGAGTATTCAGAGTTTGGTTTTTTTCCAACATAGTTACATATCCTGTTGTATAATACGATATACATTGAAGAGAAGGTATTTGGTGATTCTAACAATAAGATCATAACTGAGTAAAGCACATTGTGACGGCCCCAGAGCCTGGGGCCTGTGAGTGTGTGTGAATGTTGCAGGTCCTGCGATGGGGTGGAGCTGAAGCGGCCAATCAGCGTGATCGGGGACACCTGGCCGGAGGTGCTACTTAAGCCCAGCTGCCCGGAGTCACCAGCCCGTCATGACTCTCTCCAGGCCTGCTGCGGAGGAACTGACCGTGATCCTTTCCCCTCCTCCACCCGCTGCTATTTTTGGTGTTGCCGAATAAAGTGCTGAGATTTTTGGAACCTCTGAGCGTCTCTCCTGGTTTTTCTGTTGTGGCCAACGGGCCGGTCATAACACACATAAACTGGCTCTGCAGCTGCAAATTGTATCATCGCCATTTTTCTCTCCGATGTTTGTTTTGTCCATAAAGTAGTAGAGCGCCTCGTCCCCAGGAAATGTACATACTGTAGGTTTGACCTTTGCTTTGTTTTCTGCCTCAGTCAGAGCTGTGAAGGTATGAACAACTCACATCTGCTGAAGTAGCAGAAAACTATAGGGTCCACAACGATTCTGCTTATTCCTCCGATTACTTCAAGCGACATGGAATATTTACTCCAGTTTTACATTTAATGGGTTAATCTGACTAACAGAATCATAGTTCTTTCAAAATACAACAAATGGATTGAAAGAAATACATTAAAATACAACATATGGTCAAGCAAATTAATCACATTACCAAGTTTGACCCCATCTTCCTGCCGTAGTTCCAGCCTGGATTTGACCTTGCATCCACTGCATTGCAACTGGCTCAGGAGACATGTATATTACACTGACTGGAGACCAGTGGACATCAGTAAGAACCATCCCTAGCAAGTATTGGCCAAAGGGTGGTACTACACTTACATTCTACTCCGAGACCGCATTCGGCCAAAAAATACTTTTTCCCATTGACTTACATTGGGACGATCAGGGTATAATATTTGTTTTGCTGAATAAAATACCCGGTATGAAAACATATAGCCCTTATTCAAATCATTAGGGTCCTAAAACGTAAAATGCGCTAAAAGCTGAATCATTATATATTTTCCCTCTCTTTTCATTTGACTGAGCAGAGAGCGGGAGATCAGACGTGCAGCTTAAGGTGAACTTGAGGGCACACTCTCACGTTGGGGCCTCGTACGGGTATACATCTCCAGTCACTCCATTTTGGGCTTCATGCCCCATAGAGCAACTACATCCATTTGTTGTTATACATCCATGGAAATAGCAGACAGTGTTAATTACAACACCACAGGTATTTGTTTATCTCCCCCAAAATACAAGTAAATAATAATAAAATGTTCTGAATCGATTGAAGCCACTTCAATAAATAATGTGCTTTGAATACATCTGGCTGTTTTACATCTTCTCTGTGATAAATGGCGGTTGAAAATGGATGTTTGGCTTATATAATATCGACTATGTTTTTGATGGGTTTATTTGTTGTAAGTATAGCCTATAGGAAGTCTAACACAGACTGATTATCCAGTTCTACAAAAAGAAAAGCCACAATACTGTGCTTCCCTGCCTCCATGGGCCAGCTGATGGATGGCAGAGCTGCACACAATGAGAAACATTTGTACTCGCAGGTCGATAATACAAAATGCTTATTTCAATAGCAGCAATTTTGTCTAAATGGCTTTTGTTCTTTATGTTAAAAAATAACAGTAAGCCTAGGCCTAATACCAGAGACGACCATCATCCTCAATGCGAAACAGAACATTTTGCTTCTCATCGTCCAACAAGTTTGATAAACAGCCATTAAACAGAAGAAGTGAGCTATAAAACCTCAGCATGCATACAGGTATAAACTGTCCCTCGCTGGTTTGTCAAAGATTGGCATACTTGTGTTTTCAGTGATGAGAGAACACACTCCTCAGTGGGGACACCGTAGAGGATTGAGGTTCCTGGGTATGAAGTCATGTAACCTTAAATATCTAGCGGTGAGGGCACTACTTTAATTTAACAAGGCTGGAAAAGCTGATAAGTAAATCCTGCTTGGCATTACCTCCTGAAATGAATAAAGGTTAAAGGATTGTTTACATGTATTTAGTTGTATTGTTTCTCTGAATAAATAAAGGGGAAAATGCTCTCACACCAAGCATTTAGTAAAAAATAGCACTATGTGACAAAAAACAGTATATATATAAGTTAGTCTTTGTTTAAGAAAGGAATTTTGTAATGGCAACATTAAAGTAATGTTACTTGAGTACTTTCTGTTACTTTTGTATTACCTCAATATCAAAAGCAAATGAATACAATGAGAATCAGAAAGCCCTTTATTTGTCCCACAGCGGGGACATGTACAGCGTTACAGCCGCAAGGGACAGATGAAAAGAAAAACAGTAGACATGTATATTAAAAATCTAAAGGAGTGGTATTAAAGAAAGAAATAACAACTTTTTTTGCGAGTCCACATCTCCACGTGCGGTGCTGCATAAACATGGCTGAGTCAGCGATAGCTTTCGAGGGGTGGAGGCAGTGGCGGCCGGCCCATAGGGGCGCTAGGGACGCCGCCCACCCTCTTCCCACATGTTTGATTGTCATTACAAATTTAAAATAAATAAAAATATATATTTAAAAAAAATATATATCTTTTATTTCTTTTATTTTTAATGAACAAAATAAATATTATATAATTGGTATCAGTAAAATGTATAATCTACAATAAAATCTCGTTTAAAATTGTGGGTGGAGTTGTCGATTCTTGTTCAGTTTCCATCTTCCTCACCCTCTCAAACTTTGAGTTGCGCGCGCTGCTAAAGAGACGCGCTACCATGGTAACCAAACAATGGTGTAGCTGTATTAAAGTCAGAGTGGAAACAGTCGTGAGTAAATCTGATTTTGTCAGAAATCGGGAGAAATATGACCCCGGGAGGAAACCGGGGAGAGGGCAATAAAATCGGAAGTCTCCCGCGAAAATTGGGAGCGTTGGCAAGTATGACACACACACACATAATTTTCGTATTTAGTTTCCTGATTTTAAATGGGAATTAAATCATTTGAGTGTTCCCAAAGCACCAGTGTTCTGCAGTTTGTGTGGGCCTACTGTACTGTTGCACAGTTTTGGAAGATTCATAGCTAACCACACTGAAGATTATGGATTATCTCATATTTTTAAGCCTCAAGTTGTCCTCCCTTCAACCGATCTGAAGTCACGTGGTATCGTTTGTCATCGATGACGTAACTGGCCCAAAACGATACAAGCCTCGATACAAGCTTCACAAAAATTACGCAGCGTCCACACGGCGGCGTGCGTTGAAGCTTGCCGGCGGGCGTCTCTGAAACTCGACCAACAACCAATGAATCTCCCGCCCCAGACACACAAGCACGCGGTTTGATTGGCTAGAGCTCACCGGTCCCTCACAGCGGGCAGAGCTGCAGGTGCTGCTCCTCCCTACACGCAGATCACGCAGACTCAAACCTCATCTTATTCCCAAATTCCAGCTGAGAGGGTCTTCTCTAAAGCTGGCCTGATTGTGAATCGTAAGTAGACATGCTCATATTCTTAAACAAGAAAGAGTATTGAATAGCTGCATTCTGTGCATACTGTAGGCCCTGTTATTGGTTGTTGATCTCTGTTGTAATAGGGTTACGTTACCCTAACCCAGTGTTTCTCAAACTTGTTCATACCAAGGACCACTTAACCAATAAAAAAACACTCGCGGACCACCTAACTCCACAAATATAAAAAAACACATCGTTTTTCTAGAACAGATTACAAATCGCCTGAAAATGGTACAAACAAGTTGCAACATGTGTGATGAAGGTGTTGCGCTGGGCTATATCATGCAATCAAAAGTGAAACTTCACCTCGCTCCATTGCGGAGATATTCCCGCGAGAGTGCGGAAAACTGAAATAAATGTATCTATTTCAAATGTGAAATGTTACCAATATACTCACGGCCCACTAGGGGGCGCTCACGGACCACCAGTGGTCCGCGGACCACACTTTGAGAAGCACTGCGTAACCCGTTATGTTGTTCGTGTATGATCCCTCTTTAATTTAAAAACCAAGTTATGTTTTAAGCATGAAAGCTGTAGCCTATAGTCAACTGTTCAAACTGTGATCACCAGTTCAATACATTTGACAAATTCGACTTGGTTTCTATACTTATTTGAACACGTATTTATTTTTTACGTATATATCTTTTTTTTGTCAACATTGTTCCCACATTTTCTTTTTTTTAATAGGTTATGTACATTTCGGTTAATCGGTTTGGTTTGGGGGTTGAATATTCGAATATACATTTGCTTTCAAATTCCCATCCCTAGTATCTATATCTCTTAATTTTGCTCTCAAAGTGCACCAGATTGATGCTTTTAACTTCAATATTTAAAAAAAAAAAAATTCCCAGGGGAGCATGCCCCCGGACCCCCCTAGAGAGGGTGAGGACTCCCCTAGAGGATGTTAGGTTAAGGTGACCAGATTTTCAAAATTAAAACCGGGGACATTTTGAGTTTTGCGGTCAAAATCTCATTAACATATCTCATTTTCTTCACTGCTAAAGAATAAAGGGGGACAATTCTGGTTCAATGTAATTCGAACATTT